CGTATGTCGATGAAGGAGGTCGATGAACAAATGCTAAATATACAACAGAAAAATAGCAGTTTCTTCGTAGAGTGGATACCCAGCAACTGCAAGACGGCTGTATGTGATATACCACCACGTGGGCTCAAAATGTCTGCCACTTTCATAGGCAACACTACTGCCATTCAAGAATTATTCAAACGTATGTCTGAACAGTTTACGGCCATGTTTAGGCGTAAAGCTTTCTTGCATTGGTATACCGGTGAAGGAATGGATGAAATGGAATTCACCGAAGCCGAAAGCAGTATGAACGATTTGGTATCCGAATACCAGCAATATCAAGAGGCCACCGCGGAGGAGGAAGGTGAATTCGACGAGGACGAGGAGGGCGGAGCCGATGAGTAAAGGCCCACATAGCGCTCATCTTAAAGCTTTTAACCTTTTTTAATGCACAATTCTATCGTATATTTCTACGCGAATAGTTTCCTAAGTAGGCACGTTCTTTATATCTGATAGCCGTGTGGTCATGTATATATTATACATTGTGCACATTTGCACGCGAAGTGCATTTTATGTTATACATTACATTTATATTTTATAACTTATATATTATATATATTATAATAAAGCTTAATAAAAGCATTATTTAAAAAAAAAAACAAAAAATGTACAAAAATTTAAAATACCAAGAGTGCCCATTCTTAGTGATGGTACGTACGCATAGGGTTTTGATAAATTATTGCGCGAGTTTACATGCTCTTGCTCGTTCGCCGTTTTTTGGACGCGGCCCAATTTCACGCGACATGAAGTAATATTTCTTTAGTTTGAAAAGCTTTGGGACTCTTATTCTGCATTCCAAATTCAACTTTCGTAAAATAATTTTAAATGGCTTATATATATCTAGGCAGACTTTAATTTAAATACTGAAGAAAATAAGAAGATAGTCGGTCGGCCGGTCCGCAAAAACTGCATAGACGTCGCATTATTATTATTTTAGTATTTCAAAACGGTCAGTTAATTTCTACCAATTTAGGACAACGTCCCATTGAGGACATCATTGACTAAATATACACTTTGTTTAATCACAACAAAAGCGAAATCGCCTCAAGGGGAAGCAAATAACGCAAAAATATATTTTATCTCAAGCAGCGGTTGTAAAACATTTTTGTGTTGATTTGACAGCTGAAAACCTCCTGAAATTTGTTTATAAACAAGTTGATGACTAATCTTTGCTTTTCAAAGAAACCTAATGAGGATTTTAAGAACCGCAAAAAATTTTACAAGTCTTCCGGATTAAGCAGTAATAAGTGAAAAAATGGTTGTACTCGATGATTATAAACCATAATAATAAAGCTACATAGTTCACAATTTATGAGACGGACAAAGTTAAGTTAATTCTTTCAATTGTCTTGATGAGTATTCTTTTGCGAGATCTCTTGTTTATCTTCCTACGCATCAATATATCCAGGATTCGCTTAAGGCATCTTTTTTACACATTTTCTTAATAAGTTTATATTCTCCGTTCAAAGGATCCATAACAAAGTTATATTAGTGTTATTGCAATTTTAATTTTCTTATAAGGTATAATACTTTGTAATGCCATTAAAATTTCTCTTTCGCTTGTATCGAAGTAACATAGTTTATAAAATTCAAGAAATTGATTTTTTTTTTATAATTTAGAATATTTTTCATATCAAACATTTCAATCACGTGAATATAGACTGTTTTGAAATTGGGGGAATTAACCATAGAAGGGAGCGCGAAATATATTTTTTTATTAGCATTTTGCTGAAAACTCCAAAAGCGAAAAATTCAGACGACATTATTTATCTACAAAAGAAGAAAATAAAAATATGCGTGAAATTGTGCACATACAAGCAGGTCAATGTGGAAATCAAATTGGCGGAAAATTTTGGGAGGTTATATCTGATGAGCATTGCATAGACGCCACTGGCACCTATTACGGTGACAGTGA